AAGAAGCTTGGTCGTGACTTAGCAAAGGTTAATGCTTTTCTTCAATTATTATTGTTTTTTATACTTCTCCTGCTCAATTCTAGGGATACTCTCTCATGAATCATGATTTTCATTCATCTGTTTATGCTTTTAGCCTTTCTAAGGGTCTATTCTTTAGATTAACTTTTGAGGGTTACTTTCAATTGCTGATTTAGATGATCAATTCACCAGCAAGGCTAGTGAAACAGATGTTCTTTTTCTTGTAATATTAAAAGTAACTCTTACTAGGCTAAAGCCTCTGGAAACTAGTTGTAGTATTACTTAAGCTGACCATCATAAAAATCTTGAAGGGAAAAAAGGACCATTTTAAACATCTGTGGATATGTTTGGGATTGCAATGGAACAGAACGTTTGCTACTTGCTTAGTTGATTTGGAAAAATCATGCAGAACTACATGCTTGACTACATGTCTCCCTTCACACATTTGGTCTAACATGTTCTTGGTCTCAATTTATAAACCTGAGATAATTTTTGGGGAGAGGAGGGGAAGGGGAGGCATCCATGCTTCATTTTTTTCTTGGGATGCTAATGAAGAACTTCAGCAGTTAAATTAATTTGCTCTTGTGTTATATGGAATACAAGCAAGTAAACTGCTTGCTAATAAGTTCATTTGAATGTTTAAAGTAGAGCTCATCTCATGATGATTTACTTTTCCTGGATGCCTGATGACAATGTAAAAAATAAGCACACAGTTTGTGAGTTTACTGTTATTGACATTTATAGTACACTTGGAAGGGAAGAATCCTTTCCCTTTATTTCAGCTAAAATTGTTATTATACTTGCTAAATACTGCCAGCGAATGTGAATGTGTTAAAAAATTGAAAAGCAGAGGCTTATGGTTACTGCTTTATATGCTTTCGGTTCTTTCGTAGTGCTTATTTCCTGTATTGGACAGTATTCTTGTCATCCCTCTTAAGAAAGAATATTGAAAGTGGAAATTTCATAGGCTAATCTGCTAATTTCATTTCAACTGCATAAACTTACTTCCTTTTTTGTTTAAACAGTTGGAGACCTTTAAAAGGCAATTGGTGCAGTCTTTGAGTGATGATGACTCATCTGTAAGTTTCATAATATTCATTTTTTGGCATTTTTTTTAGAGTATTATTAGAAGGTCACCAGCACTTGCAAAAAGAAAATTTGGGTATAATCTGTAATATTATAAACAAGAATGAACGTGATTTCCATTGACTTGTAGGACAGTACAAAAAATTGAGGCTCAAGCTCTTCTTTTTAGAAGTTTTGTTTCCCTTCAAGAGATTTCTTCTTTTCTTTTATCGACTGTGATGATCTTTTCTTTTTTGACCATGGCAGCAAGCTGAAACTGTAGATATTGGCATTTATGATCAATCTGTTCATAAGTCATATCCTTTAAAAGGTAATTTCACCATTGACATTTTAAGTCCTTCGAATTTTGTTTACTTTTTATGTTTCAGATATCATGTGACTTTAGCTGTTTCAAGCTATCGAGAGCTGATGTTGTGAGTTTGATTTTGATAATTCTATCTTGCAGAGGAGGTGAATAGCTACACAGTGCATCATTCTTTCAGTGGTTCTGTAGACGGAAGAGGAAGTAATGGTGACGGTATTTGACTTTACATGTTCTTACATGATAATATTAGAATGTTGTGAAAGCTGTGTAATTATTATATCTTTTTTCTTGGATCCAGCTTCAAAGCACGCTTTGCAAAGGTTTTCCAGCCCTTACATAACACCACTGCTTACTCCAAGTGACACACCAAAAATAGCTTCTGCTAGTGTATCCCCCAGACGATGTTCTGCTGCAGTATCTCCTCGGAGGATATCTGGCAGTACCTCTCCAACAATTCCTCAATTTCAACGCCGGACATCTGGCAGTACCTCTCCAACAATTCCTCAATTTCAACGTCGAGTTTCAATGTCATCATTCTATTCTTCGAGTCAACAGTCGAGTCAACAGTCCTCAGCAGCTAACTCTCCTCCAAGGGCACGGCCAAAACCAGGTTTCCAAGAGTTGTCTTTTTTCTTTCCAATTTCCCTGTATAAGCTTATACAAATGTTACTGCTGTAGATGTCGTTACACACATTGAGAGTCATTCTTTATATGAGATGCAAACTTGTGTTGACTCCAATATTTACATTATATACACAATTTTGCTTTAGTGTAAGAATGATTCTATACGTGTGTAACAAACACTCAACAACTTTTGCTAGCTGATATTGTTTCCTTTTGGACAAATTGTTTATTACTAATTAGTTCATGTATGTGAATTTTAAGCTCAAACTCCTCGAGCTGATGGGAAGGAGTTCTTCCGTCAAGCCAGGTATCTAAATCTTTGACTTTTGTTCTTTTTAATTTTTTTGAGTAAACGATCCTGATGACCAGCATGTGTTGACTCAGGAGTCGTCTGTCTTATGAGCAGTTCAGTGCGTTTCTAGCAAACATAAAGGAACTAAATGCTCAAAAGCAATCTCGTGAGGTGATGAATATAATCTTAGTTATTAGACTGTCCTATGATTACCTTGTATTTGCTTAATTCAATATCTAAATGCTTTTCTGTTTTTTCTTTTTGCACATCGTATTATTTTAGGAAACTTTGAAAAAAGCAGAAGAGATTTTTGGAACGGATAACAAGGATCTCTATCTATCATTCCAAGGGATGCTTAACCGTGGTGTTCGTTGACAGTACAAAAAGTCATCTTGGGTGTATATTCCCATCTTATGGTAGCTTAAACATTTAACATAAGTCTTGCTTAGTGATCTAAAGTTGACCAAAGGACTTGTGGAACTCTTGATCTATGTTCCAATTTGAGGTGCAGTATCGCTAAACATCAGCTCAAAATCTTTTGAGGTGCAACCTTATAGATTTTCAAACAATTGAGATTGGTACAGATTGTGCTATTGCTAGCTGATGAGTCGATGATCTCATGTTTAAATTCTCATTAAACCATGGATGCATGCTGTAAATTGTTCCCTTCTTTTTCTCTTGTTTCAGTTTTGCATTTTCAATTTTACCGTCACGTGTAGCACATCTGAGAGGAGCGGGTGGTGCCAGCAGATGGCAGTTGAATCAACTCGTAAGTTGAATTTCCTTCTGTTGCTGCTCTCGCTCTTTCATTTGCACGTGTATGGGTATGTATATTTTCTTCTGCTTTACTGTCAGCAGCTTGAAATTTTCTTCTGTGGAGAAATGAGTATCTGCAGTATTGGCACTAGTAGTGTTATCATGCAGACATTAATATGTAAATTGAAGGGTATACTATTGATACTTAGCATCCATAACTAGGAAACGAAAACTCTGATGTTGTAGTTGTATCTGCTGTAAGAATCTAATACAACACACTATCAATTCATTGAATTGCAGGATCTCTGTTCATATCTTAACTTCTATCGTTGATTGATACTTATCAGTATTTTCTCCTCACTATACATAGTAAACACAAACTATTTGAAGTTAAAAATAATTCAATGCCAAGCTCAAAAGCAAGTAAGATGAAAAAATTAACATAGTTTGCATGTGGGCTGCAAAAGCAATTGATCCTACTTTTCAACAAGAGGATAATCATGCCCTGATAATAGCATGCAAAGAATTGGAACATGTAGATTCTCAATATATATTTGTTGAACAAGAATACTGCTGTATGATTTTTGTTGATCGCTTTACCAAAAGAAAGGTGGTATCTTTTCTATGATCGATGTGAAATCAATGGATAACCCAATAGCTGCAGCGATCTTATAAAGACTAGAAGCTTTTTCCTTTTTCTTGTTCAAAGAATAAAAACATATCAATAAGGAAGTGATAGGATGCATTAATTTGACCCCATTAAGGTCTGAATTCTATAATGGAGATGAAGCTTTACATTGGGAAATAAAAGGAACGTGTAAAATCTGAGAGTAAAGAACTCATTTTCTTTGATCTGAGATCATATGCTTAATTCTAGGATTAGAACTGAGGAGGAACAAAAACTAGTCAAATCAAATTCTTTAAGCTATGATTGATTACATGATTAATGAATTTACTGATAGAACATATATATGGCTAGGCAATTTGGAGCATAAAAACTGGTACAATTTTTCAACTTGTTCTTTCTTCCTAGTCTCTTTTTTCTTGTATAGTTAGTCCTTAAATCGTAGCACCTGATACTTTCCCTTTAACTGCATGCTTTTTGCGGAAAATAGGCTGGTAAAGAGAGAAAACATAATTTCCTCTCTTGTGTTTTTATATTTTGTTTTTCTCTTTTGGTATTGGGAACAGATTCTTTATATCCATTTTGATTCCTTTCTAAGATTACATACACATGTTATTGTTTCCCCCCTTTAACTATTTGCCTACATTATATTGTTTTCATTTTACACTATGATTAAGATCTAAATAGCACATACAGATGAGTACATATCTTATGATTTTGTTTTCACTAGATTCAAATGATTATGGTGTATAATAAAGTAAATTCATGTAAACATTTTTGACATATCACTTGTTCGCCTAAATTGTTGCCTCATTTCACTCACCAGGATCAACAACCACATTGCTGTCAATCAGCCATATTTATATTTCAATATGGTATTTAGATTTAGACATATGTTTTTTAATATTAGGATTTGTATTAAAATTCATTATCCGAGTAGAAAATAAAATGATAGTGTAGACCAAAATGAAAAGAGAGGAGACATATATATATATATATATATAAAAGAAGTTTGATGCAGCATGATAGGAGGTATATATTGTACGTTGATAAATCTTGATCTAGACCCATGTGTTAGATTCTAAGTCTATAGAGTAGGCACAAAATTATTAGTGCTAAACCTTTCAACAGCATCAGAATAGTAACAACATGACCCCCTCCCCTCTCTTTTTCCTATTTCACCTTTCTCTCTTCTTTTTTTTCACTACGATTCCTTTCCAATATCATCATATGTATGTATCACTAATAACACATTTGCACTAAGATTTGAAATTTATAAATTTCTATAACTTAATTTATGATGATAATTGAATTTACACTTGGGTATTTTAATTGTTAAAAAATGTTATTGAGTCGGCCATGCATTTTCCCTTTATCAATTAACAAATTGATATACCTTAATGAAAGTTTTGCTTATAGTAACACAAAAGCTTAAAGGAGACACTTCAAATTGAAACTATACCTTCTAATGCTTCAAACAGGAAGATAACTGTACTGTTGGTGAATAAATAGTAGCGTAAAATTGGAAATAGATTAAAAAAAAAATTGGTAGAGATATGATCACGAGCTACAAGAATATTTATCTTTTTTTTCCCCATTGGTAAAAGGTTATATATATCCCCTCACTATTTGTTTTTGTAGTAATATTGCAATATATGTATTCCTATCAATGTCACTAGTAATTAAGATGTATTTGTGGATAATATTACATGGAACACGTTACACCATATATATAAACGAATCATGGACGTGAATACGTTTAAATTAGGAGCCGTATTAGAAGGTAATAGAAGTTATATTTATGCACACCTTTTTATTTCATTCAAAAGTTTAAGACATTGATAGGAATACATATATTGCAATTTAAACGTATCATTCATATAATTATGTTTCCATAAACTCGCTCCGTTTATTTACCAGAGAACACACTTTGAAAATGTGCACGTATGATTTATATGAAGCCAAACACATGGATATATTTTTCTGGTGAGTTGATCATCTCATCTAAAATTTTAAACTACTAAAAATAACACACTTTTATTTACTTAATTATATTTTCAAAGTATATTGATCTTTTATGTGTTTCCTCTAGCAAAGACTAATTATGATCATTCTTTTTTTTACTTAGAAGCTTGACCGAAACAATTCACAAATCATAAACCAAAAATGGAAAAGTTTGGCTAACATAATTCATAGAACTCACACATATTACTCAGATATGTTAAGCTCAGACGTGGTTTAATATTAGTCAGTAATTAAAAAAATCGATAAAGAAAAACTGAAAATTAGACAAAAAGTAAGAGACAATAGAAACATAGAGAATAGAGCTGGAGCAAGTTGCCAAAAAGCTTTACTATAGCTATAAATAGTTAAGAGCACAAAATCCATATCGACCACCGAAGCCAAAAATTGACTCATCCTATTAAAAAAACACCAAATTTCAATTTTTTTAAAAAAAAATGGCTTTCACTCCTCATGATCATGACTACTATACTACTCAAGGTCTTTTTTCCAATGAATTCATCAATTCTTCTCTTGTTACTACTAATCCTCTCCCACAAATATGCAATTCCCAAATAAGCCCTTATGAACATGAACAAGTAGTGATGAATATAAATTCATTAGATCATTATGTGCCACCCTCCATTTCAATGATGCCATGGTTCCCTGAGAGGCTAGGGGTTTCCGATATGACGGTGCCGGTACTACCACCTGCATCGTCTACTACTTATGCAGTCGAAAACAACAACAATAATAAAGGATGCATCGGCCAACACCACGAGGGGTGTGAATCTTGGGATGAAACTACTGATCATTCTTTTGAATCCAACTTCTGGTCCTCTTGTCCTCTCGCGACCTCCAATAATTGGGTAACTTTGTTTTGCTGAAGTTATTAGAAAAAAAATATACATCTTTTTATTACTAACTTATGTTTTCAGCATGATCTTCCATGAAACATTAGAAAGAACATATTTTATTTACTTATTAACTAATATATATAAATAGTCAACATATTAATTTTGTCATAAACTATCTATGCTAGTGTAACATTTTGTGCATGAAAAGTTGAGAGAGAGAAAAAACACGTCAGTAATGGATTGGGGAGTAGTATTTTTTAGGCTCAACATATATATTATAATAACATGTATTAATGTTATTGACAGGGTTCTCAGAGAGAAACAAGTCCAAAAATCAAAGGAACGCCATCAATGAAGATTGGGAGGTACTCAGAAGAGGAGAGAAAGGACAGAATTCTTCGATACCTCAAGAAAAGAAATCAAAGGAATTTCAACAAAACTATAAAGGTATGTATATATATACATTTTTAATTGTTTTATATATATATATATAATATGATGACGACGAATTAATGTGTGCGTAAGTACAGTATGCTTGTCGCAAAACCCTAGCAGACAAACGTGTTCGAGTTCGTGGAAGATTTGCTAAGAATAATGAAGATCATCAACTCCTCATCAACGGAAATATTGTTAATTATCACCAACACAAAGATGTTTGCTATGATCAAATCCAGGTTATGATAAATTCATTGATCCTATTAACTATATATATATATATATATATATATATATATATATATAATTAATAATCTCTCTAAACCCTTTTCTTACACTAAATTCTGTAATTTGCAGATGAAACATGGTGATCATTATAATGAGGATAACTGGTTAGAAGAGGCAATCACAAATTTTATGTATATACCTTGTAGCTCCTATGAGGGAAATTTCATAAGCTGATTTTGTCACCCATATATTACTTAAGTCTCTCTCTAATTATGTACTCCCATCCATCATTTATGAATGAATGCTTGAGGTCTTCCTCCTCAAAAACAATGATTGCATAAACAATATATTGACACATTGAAATAGGTTAATATAAATTTATCACAAATGCTACATCACACTTTTCCTTATGTATTGTCTAGTTATACTGAACTTTCCTTTTTATGATCTATATTAACACGAACTATCAAAATGAATTTATATATGAACATGGCTCATAAGAGATTTAAAAAAAAAAAAGGAGTATATATAATTAGCTAATAAGAAGGTCGTCCAAGTATGTAAGCAGAAAATAGATGTGGACACTCCGTAGTTATTACTAAAAGGTTTAATTTATAGGAATATATAATTAAACAAGAGTTGTTATTAGGTTAGGTATAGGTAATGAATTAGTAATACGTTAGATGTGATCCAAATAGTTAATAGTAGATTAAAAGGAGATAACAAAAAAAGGGGTTTGATTACCTTAAAGAATCAAAACAACAACTTTATTTTCAACGTTAGCATCGAATTCTATATCCAGCGATTATTTGGAGTTACTTTAGTAAGGTACCGTTAGTAGCATCTTTTGGTACGTACTTATTATAACTAGAATGAACATCATCATTATAACGTTGAATGTATTAAAAAGGTAAGAATTTAGATTATTTTTATTCCACTAGCTAGCTTTCTTTCTTTCCTAGCTAGCTTCGATAATATAATAGGGGAATAATTCTTAATTATTTCTTTCAACCTATTTATATTATACTAAATCTTAGGGCTGCTCGGTGTTTTCTTCTTTATTCCTCTGCATGCAATACATTACGAACCATTTCAATTTCAAGTGACAAACAACAACTTCCCAATTTTTAAACTACTCAAGGATGGTTATTTATTACACAGTACAAGTGTACGTACAGTCATGATTGATCAGTCTTGTTTATGTCAAAAATGAGAATTAATGAATCAATCCAAAAGAATTTATTCTTTGATTGATCGATCGATCTCTTGATTTTATATTTAAAAATGATATACAGGACGACAAAAAATAAAAATATATATAGGCAGACCTAGCTAGGCCAAGAAGATGGGGATCACAAGTATGCCTTCTTCCAATCGTAAGAATGCACTTATGAAGTGACCCAAGTATGCCCCATTATCAATGAACTGTCCCAATCACCACCTTCCAAGTCTTCAAACCCCACTCACTAATCATAAGTCCTTATTAATAAATGATAAAAATTATAAAGACAAAATTTTAATAATTTTATCATAATTATTTTATCTTTGATCCTCTTCCTTGTGTTGTCAATATTAATCTTTTATTTTGACTACCTTTTTAGTGAATTTTGATTTATCATTCATGATTACAAAAGTAACCAAATGGTGTCCTTTGAAGTAAGGGAAGGTTATATATATATTTAGTAACAAGCTAAGTTTGTTGGTGGGATCAAATCAAATAATAAATAGTTATAACATGATATATGCTAGCTAATAACTGTGGATGAAAATGGGCAATCAACATCATATATTTGAGAAAGAGATGGATATATTACCCCCTAAGATTTGTCGGTGATATAATTATATATATTATTAATTGTGACCAACACACATATATTATATACAAGCTAAGGTTGCCAATAAGTTGACCCTCTCTTTCTTCATATATAATTATATATAATATTCCAAATTGGGAAGGTGGGGACTCTTCTTCAAAAGCTACTTATAAATTAGCTTCTTCATCATCATAACTTTGACTATTCTATGTATACTACTTCATTTCAGATAGATATGTGGTCACAAATTAGTTTTAATATTGAACATTAATCATATTCAATTAATTAACTTCATATAACATTTAACCTTTAATTAGCTAATTAAATGACCCAAAAATGGCATCCATTATGACATTTAAAACAAGTTTTTGCTATTTCAGGCTGCTTTTATTTTATTTTTCCTATATTTATTTAATGAAAATTTATAAGTCAAAATACCAGCCTAATTTCACAAGGTAACTTTTGCTCCGTCCCACAAAATTAGTTGTGTAGTATTTAATTCACAAACTAGAGAACTTAAGACATAATTTTGTAGGTTTTTCTATCAACATAAAACTAAGTTATGCCTTGTAACCTGTAACCGTAAGATATAACTTGTGAGTTATGAACTCTTAAAACATAATGTTCTTAAATTGAACTTAATCAATATAAATTTAATAAAAACTAAATTACCTCTGGCAAGACATAATTTGTTGGTTATATATATTACATCACATCCAGAGGTTTCTGGAACAGGTAGTGGGTACCGGCTCGCCGAAGACTCATTCTTTCCTCGGGGATGACTTCTTGCTGACCTAAGCTCAAAGAGGTGAGAACTCTCAATCGAATGTGATCATAATTTGTGCATTATATATAAAATTTATGTTTTCAACATCATAAATTTTGTGAAAATTAAGTGATACGGTAACTTGTTTTGCCTTATAAAACATCACATGAGTTATATCATGATACTTTTACTTTGCTATTATTTTTTTAAAAAATCAAAAATATCATGATCGAATTTTTTGTATAAAAATAACACTACACACACATTTAAGATGTTAAATATCAAGTTATAAACAAACTTTTCAATATTACACTACTTATAGCATATTATTATCAAGTTATAGCATATTAAGAAATATTATACTATTATCATTAATTTTTTAAAATAATAATTAACTTATTTTAATAATTCAATTACCATATTTAAACCAATGTAGTTAATTACACTTATTATTTTAAGTTACCTTTTTTAAACAAAACTCTTAATTAGAGTTATTTAAATTAAATATTATTTAGTTACCTTTTTTAAGATAACTACAAAATTATAGGGTTTTTATCAAAATTTAAAAAATTACAGTTTTAAAACTGTAAAACAATATCTAAAAAAAAAAAAGTATATTACCCAAAATTTTTGTTCTTCCCCATTTATTTTCAAAATCATTACAAACGCACGCCTCTCGAAACCTTTCAACATTTTCACACGCTTTCACCATCTTAGCACGCCTAATTCCTCTCTCAAAATTCCATCTCTCTTAACACTATTCTTCAAGAATTCTCAAATAGTTACATTCAAATCTTAATTTTTAGCATTCAAATCTTTAAATCTTGCTATAAACAAACCCTACAATGTCTAAAAGAAGCAAAGAAACACCAAGAAAAAGTAGAAGATTGAATGAAGAAGCAAGTTCAGACGATTTTCATGCTACATCCTTCAAAATTTTATCACAAACACAAAATCCAAAGGAAAATGAGAAGAAGAGAAAAGGGAAAGAAAAAGAAAAGAGAAGATGAATCTGAGAAAACGACTAAAGAAAGAGGAAAGAAAAGGAAAGGAAAAGAAATCAAGGAATCATCAGATTCTGAATCTGATTTTGTGGAAGAGTTGATAAAATCAAAATCCAAAAAAACAAGAGCAGAAGAAGAAGAAACTGATAAACCCAAAAAAAGTTCAAAGGTTAGTAAAAGTTAATTTTTTAATATTTTTTTATATTCTGTTATTTTTTTTTCTTTTATTTGGCTATAAAATAGTTAAAATACAATTTTTGTGTAAAATAAATAATGTATGAATTGTGTATGATTCCCTATATGAAATTTCTGTTTAAATAAATAATGTTTTTTTTATGTATGATTCACCGTATGAAATTGTGTATGATAACTGTATAAATTGTGTATGATTCAATATATGAATTTTGTATGATTCATTGTATATATAAGATATGTATGAATTTTTTTTATCAAGTTTTTGGGTACTGTTTTTCAAGTTTTTGGGTACTGTTTTTCACTGTATGAATTTTGTATGATTCACTATATGAATTTTGTATGATTCACTGTATGAATTGTGTATGACTCACTGTATGAATTTTGTATGATTCACTGTATGAATATTGTATGATTCACTGTATGATTCACTGTATATATAAAATGAGTATGAATTTTTTTTTTTGCAAGTTTTTGGGTACTGTTTACTAGTAATATTCATAATTATTTTATATTTTATATTTTGATTATGTTTTGTATACTATGTAAATGAATTAGTTTTGTATTACATGTGTATGAATATGTGTATGATTAATGTATTTAATTTTTACAATTTTGTTAGGAGAAGAAGACACACACACATCTGTCTTCATGTATTAACATGAACGTGTTTGCGGATTTGTTGACCTTTTTAGGTCAAGATAAGTTTCAACAATTCCTAGATGAAATCCCTTTTGGATTTTTTTATAATTTACATCACATTAAAATTCAATGTCAATTGTTGAGGCACTTATTTATAATGGAGAATGAAAATGTTAGGGATGACAGTTTGTCATTAAAGTAAATGGTAAAGAGTTAAATTTTGGTCTAAAAGAGTTTGTTGCTATAACTGGTTTGAAATGTGGACCTGTTTCTGATTTTGTTTCAGATCCACATGTTCAAAACAGACTCATTGCTGAAAATTTTGGAGATTTTAATAAAGTATCCAAGTCTGATTTTTACTACAAGTTTAAATTGCAAAATTTTTGGGAAGAAGATGATAAACTAAAAATCGGGATCCTGTACTTTATCTCTTCATTTCTGACTGCATCAGACCCTTCAAAGACAACAGTTCCAAAATTGTATTTTGATTTGGTAGAGTCTGGACAGTATGCCACTTTCCCTTGGGCAAATGAGTGTTTTAATTTAACACTCAAAGCTTGCAATAAAAAATTCAAAAAAAATTCATCGTCATTCAAATTCAGTCAGTTCCACATAGCACTGCAAATATGGTTTTATGAGTGTTGTCATCCATTTGACAACACCATTGCTATACGAGTTTCAAATCGCACACCGAGAATACTGAACTGGAAGACACCGAATGACGTCATTTTTTTTGACGATTTGAAGAAAACAATTTTCAGAACTCATGGGAATCAGGTATTTTTCTTATAATGTTATTACATTCAATATAATTCATTATACATTATACATTTTTTTTTATGCAGCATAAATTCAGAAATATTGTCTTATCGGAAGAACAGTTAAATCTAATGGACGAGACCATTATTAATCAGTCCAGCAGCCACCAGGATTCAGAAAATCCAAGATCATCGGAAAATCGTGCTGTTGACAGTGATCATAAAGTTCAAGAATTGAAAGCTGATATTGCAGAGGTACAAGTAAAATATTGAAATAAACATAATTTTTTTTGAAATTACAGTACACATATCAAATACTTATTTTTTTAATTAACAGGTTAAGGCAGAGTTAAAAGAACTCAAAATCACTGTAAGTTCCAACATATTTTTATATAATTAATATAATGACTTTATAAACTATTAATGTATAAATTTTTTTATGTTCACCGATAAGGTTCACAAGCACATGGCTGATATAAAGATGTATGTTGATAACTCCACCAAAATGATAATTGATGAGATTCGATTGTCAAGAGGAGAACAAATACCTGAAGAACAACCAGAGGTATATATATCTATGTATACTTTATGTATGAATTTTGTTTGAAAAAATTATAAATTATGTTATTTTTATTTTCTGTTTTTTGGGTATAAAATATTTAATATATAAATTTTGTGTAATTAAATATTGTATGAATTGTGTTTGATTCACTGTATGAAATTACAGATTTCTTCATATTACAATATCAATTGCTGAAACATGTATTTTTTATGTATGTTTCACTGTATGAAGTGTGTATGATTAACTGTATGAAATGTGTATGATCCAATGTATGAATTGTGTATTAATTAGTATACTATCATATCACTGTATATATAAAATATGTATCCATTGTGTATAAATTTTGTTGTATCAAGTTTTCTGATACTGGTGATTAGTAATATCCATAATTAGTTATACTTTATGTTTTGATTTGTATATTGTGTATGAAAGATTGTTGTAAGGTTGTTTGAAATGTGTTTGATTATATTGTATCATGTTTTGTATACTATCTGTATGTATTATGTATTTCTCAATATTATGTTGTAAGTTTATTAGAATTGTGTATGATTCACTGTATTAGTTGTGTATTATATGTGTATGAATACATGTTTCAGGAAAATGTCAACCATCATGCTGCACAATATGATCCGACAGATATGCCTACAGAGACAATTCCACAACAAGTCCAAAGTTCAAACACAGCTGGTACGATATATTCATTTTTATCACATAAATTCAAATTTTAGAATTTTTTTTTATTTAACATTTTTTCATGTATATGCAGCTCAAAAATCAACGGATGATTGTTTAAATGTTGATGCATCTACAGCGTCAAAATCAAAACCACCAACATTGGACGATTATCCTGATTTTACCATGACACAAATAATTGCCCTGGATCCGATTCTTAATGCCACAACGACTCCAAATCTGCGAACAAGAAACAAGAATGTGGGTAAATACGACTCTTCTCCTTATATCAGAATGTCGGAAGGAGAAAGCAGTTCAAATAGAGTACCTACATTCTTTCAAATCAAACATCCATTCCAAAATCACAATGGGTTTGATGTACCAGACGAAATGATTGAGGAGTTCAATAAATGGATTTTCAAAGATGTGTCGAGCAGACGTGGCAGGTAATTTGTACGATGATAAAAAATGTTTTAATTAATTTCTAAACTACTAAATTAATATAACACTTTTTTAAACATATACAGAAAAGCAGCTTATTCCAAGATTAAAAACTCATTTCATCCTCAAATGGACTTTGGCGTAGTCAAAATCAGAGAGAAAGATTTTTTTCACATAATGAGTCAACCGGGCAGACCTTGGGAGGACGGGGTAAGACCTTTTTTTTCAACTAAATATTATGTTTTTTGAGTTGCAGTGATATATGTATGTTTTCTGTATGTATATTTTATGTATGAAATATGTGTGAGCAGTCAATGAATTAGATATGTATTTTTTTTTAAAAAAAAATAGCATATTAATACAATTGCAGTGATATATGTACTATTGCAGTGATATATGTATGTTTTCTGTATGTATATTTTCCGTATGAAATATGTGATATATGTATGGTTTTTGTATGTATGTTTTCTGTATGAAATATGTGTTATATATGTGATGTTTTCTGTATGTCTATTTTCTGTATGAAACATGTGTGAACAGTGAATGATCACATATGTATTTTTTTTTGTTAAAACAACATATTAATACAATAATGTATTATCTCCGAAAGAAGGCAAAATACTCCCAAAATGTCACTACTTACAGTACTGTTGATTGTTGGTTTATGGCATGGGTTGATAACATTGAGAAACAGTGGAGACAATCACAATGTGACATGAGATGCATATCACCGGACCATGATGTTGGACAATGCATTAGAGGATATAAGCTACTTGCTAACATTCCGTGAGATAGGGTTGATGAAGTAATCATCCCAGTCAACATCAATGACAAATTCCATTGGTTTCTTGTTGTATTCCGAATCAAAAATAGATGTCTATATGTATATGATTCGATGATGGGAGGATCTGTTCATTCAAGGAAAGTCAAAGAAGCCGTTGATAAGTTTGCAACCATGATTCCTTTATTTCTGACGAGCACAGGGTTTTATGGCAAAAGACTTGATTTGTATGCGAATAATCTCCCTGATTATCAACAGAAATCTCACTCTGAACCTCTAAGTATCAAGAATGTTACACATGTTCCTCAACAAGAAGAAAGTTCAAAGTATGTATATTTCTTACATTATTTTTTATTCATTTTAAATTGAAATTGCTAATATTCATTACAAAAAAAAATTTCAATTTGTTTACAGTGATTGTGGTTTATACACATCTCTATTTGCTGAATACATGAGCAATGGTGTTTTTGATATGTCACATATTGATATTGATTCAACATATCATCGTCAAAGATATGCAACATTACTTTGGCATTATGGAAAATCAAAGAATGATGAAGGCGCAATCAGTGAAAGTGAAGTTACAGGAACAGTTGCTAGCAAGAAGGGTGAACCTCGAACTCATAAAGAACAAGTTATGGACACCACCAATTATCCTACTCCAAAATTCCGTATCAGGAAGTAGAAATCTTCATGGCACATAGATAATTTATTTGAAAGACTTTTTTTTTTAATTTATGAACAATTTATGTATTTTCAGTTTTTTTATTATGAATACTTTGATGGTTTTATATAAATTATTACTGGTTATTATTAAATGTGTCTCAGTTTTAACATATATGAACACTGTATGAATCATGTACGAAAATAATATGAATTATGAATGTCATATTAAAATTTGATATATAGTACATAGTAATATTGAAATTTGTTTTGATTGAATACTATACACTTTCAAAATACAAACAGAAACTTATATTAATTATATTACTGGTATGAATACTGTATGAAAAATGTATGAATTATATCATACAATTATACATTATTAAATGCGTATCACCATCTTACATACATTATTCATACCACTAATATACATACAATTTGTTTCTGTTTTTTTTTAATTTTGACTACTCATGGTTTTATATAAATTATTACTGATTATTACTAAAGGTGTCTCACTTTAACATATATGAAACTGTATGAATCATGTATGAAAATTATATGAATTATGAATGTCATATTAAAATTTGATATATAGTACATAGAAATGATATATGAAAAATATATGAATTATGACAAATTATAAAATATATTTTTCAAAATACAAACACAAACAAATTGTATGTATATTAGTGGTATGAATAATGTATGAAAACTGTATGAATACTGTATGACATTTGTATAAATATTAATATTATTCAATAAAAAAACATATTTATAACAATGTAATGCCTCAATAACACAGATTTAACATTACGACATCATTGTTTTTGTACAGGATAATTTGAACAAGTCTTCCTATTGTGTCCAACCTGATGGCATCTACTGCATGTGCTTTTTGTCTTCTTGAACTTCACATCTGCGAATCCCTTCCACCGTTCTAGTTTGGGTCTTCCTGTTGCTCTTTTTGGACCAGGCGGCATCAATTTAGGATCTGAAATATAACTTGGTATATCCCATGTACTCTCGCACGGGATAGGCTCGACAGAAATGGCATAAGCATCTTTGAAATTCTTGAGGCTATAAAAAGCAGAACAGAAATCTGCTTCATGTAACTTCCTGTACCGGAGAACAGCAATTGCATGACCACATGGTATCTCATAATGGAACTACACATCCTTGTGTTCAAATTTACTATGTATTTCTTTGCTCCTTCAGCTACAGCATGCAGATCAACAGTTGAAGGTATCACCTGTGAAAAAAAAAATATTTTATATATGCTGAAGATTAGTATGAATTAAAAATACAAAACAGTGAAAAACATACCCTCATATTGCACGACAATGTAATACTTTTCTGTAGATAAACATCATATTTTTTTGTCAGATTAGATGTAGTCTTATCAGCCTCCTCATTATGCTTGTGAATCCACCTCTGAATTGTCACCCTCATAAACTCAAGAAGTGAAATCACCGGTAACCTCCGTGCTAATCTGTTAACATTATTCAATGACTCTGCGATGTTTGAAGTCATCGTCCATGTGCGCTTACAATTCGAGTAAGCTCTTGACCATTTGCTATAACCAATATCAAACAAGTATGGCCGTATTCGCGTATCTATCTGATCTATTCTTCCCATAATTGTCTCAAACTGTTGTTTTGTATAAGCTTTTGCCAATGAAAAGAACAACATCTTCAAATTTTCAGTATTTCTATTGAAATTCTTCAAAACATTGACTGATAAATGCCATATGCATGCATAATGTTCTGATTCAGGATATACATTTGTTGTCCCTTTCCATATGCTTTCATTTCTGTCTGACATAAAACACATATTTTGTCTAACTCCATATGCTTCTCTAAATTGCTCAAAGAACCATGTCCATGAAGCATCATTTTCAGAATCTACTATCGCATACGCCAACGGAAGTATATGACCTGCTCATTAATTTTTTTAAAAAATATCACACAAATAAAAAATATCATTCATATACTTTTTCATTATATTATATAATTAGAAAATTATATAGGCTAATATTTTACCTCCCGGATCCAATGTGCTTGCAGTTAACATTGTACCACCATATGAACATTTTAATGCAGCGCCATCAACAACCACAATTGGCCTACAATATTCCCAGCCCCTAATACATGCTTCTGAAGCAACAAATGCATATAAAAATGTATCATCTTCATTCCTTTTTATTTTCAAAACAGATCCTGGATATGTTTGCTCCAAAATGTAAAAATAACCTGAAAATAACAGTCCAATTCATACATAAAAAATACGTAGTTCATACATAAAAAATACACATAACTGTTACTGTATAAATTTATTTTGAAATTACCTGAAAATAACAGCTCAATTCATACTTAAAAAATACATATCTTATACATAAATAATACACGAAACTGTTAATACACAACAAAATAAACAAGTATTTATATTTATCATTATATTCGAAATTACCAGGTAATCTTGCATAAGATTCTGCTGGATCTCCTCGCACCAATTTTACTGCTTTTTCTTTAGCTCTCAATATAATTATCCATTATCAATACAGCTACAACGTCAGTTATCCCTTGACGTTTGGCATAAACTCTTTCTCTAACACAACATGTATGCTGAGCAATATACTTCCGTACTTTGAATAAACTAGATTTATTCAAACTAGATGCCCTCATCATCCAAGAACAACTCTTAGAAATACAATGCAGATGATAACTGTTACAGAATTTAATAAAATATACATTAAAATATATATACATTATAACAAAACAAAATAAATAAATAAATAAATTTAAACTTACTTAGATGCATTACAACGTGCAACCCGAAAGCTGAATTTCTCAACAAGTCCATCATGCCTCATAACCTCCTTAAGGGTTTCTTTATTATTATAAATCTGATTTTCAGCTACAAATAAATTAGAATGATCACATATTATATCATTATCTACTTCACTATTATCATTGACTACTTCGTCTAAATCCATTCCGATCAAACGGATAGAATTGTTGGTGTATAGATCTATGTTATTCTGTGATAATCTAACATCAGAATTTATTATATCATTAACTATAACTCTATGACATTCGTTATACTGCCCACAATCTTTCAAAGTGATGCATAAAGGATATTTTGTAAAAAAAATCCAAATTCACCCTCATTTGATCTAGATAAACCTTTACCCCAACATCATTATGAATTTTTATAAGTGGACACATTTCGCTAACTATATACTTTATCTCAACAGAATTTAGATTTTCTTCTATGTTTAGCTGAGTTACTATAGAATTTACTAAACCAGTATAAAGAGTAGAAGTATCGTATAAGATGCCCTCCACTTCAAAGTCGACGTATTTCTCTGTTTCACAACATTAAAATTACATTCAGTGCATCCCATAATAAAATTAAAAAATTATTCATACACAATTAACACAGATTTCATACACAATTTATACACTTCATACAAAAAATAATACTACACAATTTATACACTTCATACACAGATTTCATACACAATTTAATACTCAATTAATACACTGTTTATACACTTTTGTAATTTAATAAACAATTAATATATTGTTTATTACACACTTAATACCATTTTATACAAAATTAATACACAAATCATACAATGTTTACCACACATTTTATACAATTTGTACAAAAAATAATACACACTTTATATAGAATTTAATACACAATTACCACACTGTTTGTACACTATTATAATTTAATACACAATTAATACATTGTTTACTACAAAATTAATACACAAATCACACAAAATTATATACAAGACACGTATATATACAATAACAAAAATTTAAATCAAAACAAAATTACAACAATTTTTATACATACTGCATACTACACAACTAACTACTACATACAATCTAAAATACAATTTCATAGTCTTTTATCCAATTTAATATAAAAAATAATATACAGTTAATTCAATTTCATACTCAATTGATTTTCGTATATGTTGTTCATACTTTATATATATACATTAAAATACAAAATGTATACATTGTTAATACAATATGTATATTATTTTCTAATGTTTCAAAAACAAAAAATTTGCTAAATTTATCAAAAACTTTAAAATATTAAATTTTAACCAGTAATCACATTTACCATCACTATTCGTTTTAATTACACATGAAAATACATTTAACATTACGAAATTTTTATTAGTAGAAACACTAAATTAATGTTTCAAAAAAAATATATCAATTTCACATATGCAATATATAAACTAACCTGATGAAAACGACAGGAAAAATAAAACGACACATTACTAAAATATATAAAAAAACTAACCTGATGAATTCCATTTGCCACCATGTTTAATTAAAATTGAAACAAATTTCTCCATCAAATCAAATCTAAACTTTTTCAACCTTCAATTTTAATTGTTTTATGAATATAGTCAAATTTTTGGAAAAAAAAAATTAAAACACGTTTATGGAAAGAAAGATAACAGAATAGAATTTTTTTAGGATAAAAAATCAAAAAAAATTACCATTAAAAACGAATTTCGCTAATTAAGGTACATATGTTTAATTAATATATTTAAATTCTCTTAAAAAGTGCAAATTTGGTAATCAGTTAAAAAGTGTAACTACAGTCACGGTAGTTATCCAATTTTTATTAATAATTTTTAATTTTTTTTTCTTCCTGATTTAACTGAATAAATATTTAATATATTTTAATTTAAAGAAATGTTATAAGTTGATATATTATATGTTATTGAATGAAAATCAAAATCTTGTGCCATAACTTGATAATATGACTACATAATATGCTATATACCTAATTTACACATTTTTTGTCAGTTGAAGGACAAAAATTCGTGACCCGATATAAAAGTTAAAACGACTCATGGGCGGTATATCATTGCCAAATTTTGTTGTGTACACTTTTGGGCTTTAGAGCAACCCAAGTACGTAACAACAATCATGGCTATGTATCCCTAAGCAAAGTGTATTGATAAATTATTGTATAATTTATATAAATTTCGTACTATTATTAGTAAATTATATTAGTTTTTTAATTTTTTTTTCAAATTGCAAGATCCCTAAAAATTTATAGATTTCAGGCACAACATTTACATCATTGGATTTTCGGATACATTAACAGACGTCTAGATACAAAGGCGAGTTATGTATTCGAGAGGAGAATAACGTATCAAAGAGGGGATAAATATTCGGATACATATGGGAGAAATGTACTGAGAAGGGATAGAATCCAAAAAAACAGAAGAGAAATGTATTCAAGAGGGGAGGGATGTATCAGAAAGGAAAGATATGTGTTCGATAGGAATATGAATGTATCATCCGGAGGGAAGTGATGTATTCAAGGAAAATTTTTAAATTGTTTTAAATGGTAGGAAAATTTAAAAATTATAATAAAATACATTATATATTAAGGTAATTTTGTCATAATTATTTTTGAGTAGCTGTTTAAGTTTTACCCAATGGTCGCAAATTATTTAAAATTTAAATAACATTTGAAATAATAATATTCACTTATATATATATTCAGTTTCACAATCCATAAAATTTTGACTTAACAAATAGAGCATTGTATAAAACGAAATATATAATTATAAGTGTATATGACGATTATATACAATTTGAATTTGTATAAAGGGAGAAAGACAAAAGAGATTTGGGCAGGAAATGTACAGTTGAATCCAATTGTATAAAACGAGAAAGACAAGAGATATTTGGGCAGAGAAGTACTTTTATTGTATAATTATAAGTGTATAAGACGGAGATATATGTATTTGCATGTGTATATACAATTTTCTCTCGCTTTATACAATTAGAAATACAATTTATACAATTCTATTGTATAAAGTGAGAGGAGCGAGCGAGAGAGGAAGAATGACAAGCGAGAATATGAGGAGAGAGGAACTGACAAACAATTTACTATGAATCACAAATAAATCAAACGATAGCTATTATATTTATTTTGTATTATTAATTTGCTATTTTATCCCAATTTTTATCGAATAAAATACATTTTCTAAAACTTTTACCTTATCAATCAAATACTAGATCATAATCATTAACCACACGTAATACTCGGAACAAAATAGGGCTAATTTGTGAAAGGTAGAAGTTATAGCGCAATATTAAACAATTTGTAAATAGAGGTGGCAACGATTGCCATTTCCACGTGAAAAATGTCTTCAAATCTGACGACGTGCATCTCGCCGGTGTCATATTATAATGAATTCTTTTTGCCACCATAATATATCAACTAATTTAGTTTCTAAGAATATTCTAGTAGTAGTATAATATTTTTAATCGGCTAAGTAAGAGGACATAAAAAAGTGTGTTTTCTTCTTCATTCATTTGAGTTTGTTCCGGGCTTGAGTAAGAAATTCCAATCGCAACCGCTGCAAAATGAACATCGAATCGGAGAAAGAGCAATTTCTGAAGGAATTTGGAAGCTATTATGGTTATGCCAATTCCCCCAAAAACATTGATGAAATTAGAGCTACTGAATTTAAGCGCTTAAACGGTAAGATTTTTCATCTTCCAATTTCAGAATTTTGTTGAAAAATTGTTCCGTTGACTTCACTATTTATTTACTTGTAGATACGGTATACTTGGATCATGCTGGGGCGACTCTCTATTCCGAGTCTCAAATGGAAGCTGTGTTTAAGGACCTCAATTCTACTCTTTATGGAAATCCTCGTATCCTTCCTATCACTTTTCTCTATGAACTTTCTTCAACATGTTTGATTCTGTATTTCTTCACCCTGCATAAATTTTTAGCTGATACCTTAATTCTGTGAAAAACAATAGATAGCCAGAGCACTTGTAGTTTGGCTACCGAGGACATTGTTGGGAAAGCACGCCAACAGGTGAACATCTTCTTCTGCACTATTTTTATTGCTTCTGTTGTCATCATAATCTCTGCATTAGTCCACAATGCTCTGGAAATGTATATTGATGTATGCTGCATTGATATTATCTAAATGCTAAGCTGATGAGAGTCACTGCACATATGTTCTGTCATATTCAGTATTTCACATGTGATAAAGTTTCTGTTGTAATACTTTCTCTTACCATTGAATCACGACTCTATCCAGGTCCTTAGTTTCTTCAATGCATCACCAAGAGAATATAGCTGTATATTCACTTCTGGGGCAACAGCTGCACTAAAGCTTGTCGGTGAGACATTCCCATGGAGCAGTAACAGCAGTTTTATGTACTCAATGGAGAATCATAACAGCGTCCTTGGGATTAGGGAGTATCCTGAATGGATTAAACCTTTTCATCAAATTTTGTTACTTCTGCTGTCGATTACTTTATGAAAGCTTTCCTCTTTAGCAGTGTATTTAGTTTCTTAATCTACGGTACTACTTCCTGCTTCAAGTGCTACTCTTTTTCACTGAAATACCGGTCCACCTAATCAAAGGCTCCCGACGATTCTATAAATTATCAATATTTTCTTCATGAGGAAGGCATGAATCTTTCCGGCTTTATATTTCAGCAAATGATCGCATCTCTACCTGTCACTGCATCGGGACCATGCTATCTTTGGACATTTGAAAGAATTACCACGAATTGTATGTGTTATCGATGATGTTTCATATATGCAGACCTGATCTGTGGATACGTTCAACACTGCCATTGTTGCTCTTATCGACTGATGTTCTGATGCGTTTAATCATGGTGGTTCTTTTTGAAGTTCTATGATTCCATTCACTTCAAAATCACTTGTTCCACACTTGCTGCTGAAGTGAGGTGTAGAACTCTACTGTTTATCTCATGGATATGATTATACATGTTTCTGGTAGAATTCACTGTACCTCCAAGGGTAACTTTTTATTCTTGACAGATCCTAGTTCTATCTAACCAGCCACAAAATTTCTGTTCTTGTTATTGAAGTGAGACCAAAAATCAAGGACCCAATTCATCTCTAAGTTTGTGTACTATTATCTATGTGTTAATACTTGCTCCGTACGGATAAACCTATTAAGCCAGATAATTGGAAGAGAAAAAACCTTTTTACACAGTAGGAAGAGTTTGCAGAAACAGTTGAGTAGATGGAAGATTTTGCATGATTTTTGATCTTGGTTCATTTTAAATTTGTGTGTATCTCAAGTATTCTTTTCCTTAAGAGTTACTAGATATGCTCTCAGTAAAGGAGCTGCTGCTTTTGCAGTTGACATTGAAGATACACATGTTGGTGAATCAGAAAGCCCACAGTCTAACTTAAAACTAACACAGCACCACATTCAGAGAAGAAATGAAGGTGGCGTTCTGAAAGAAGGGATGACAGGTACCTTTTTATCAATAGTTTCATCAACTTCTACCTTCCACCCCCTTCCACCCACCAAGTCTATAAAGGTAGTTAGCACCTTCAACTCAAATTAGATGTTGTCTGAGTTAATTAAACCCCATCAATCAAGAGAGCCTGTATGACCTTATACCTGTTAGATGGATTATCTTTTTCCTTTTGTTAGTTTTAGAAGTGAAGTAGAAGCTGCTTCACTAATGAAGCACATATTACCAATGTCTTTATCAACTTCAACTCGTTGTAATCTGACACTGTAGTCTTCTTGTTACAGGTAACACATACAACTTGTTTGCATTCCCATCAGAATGCAATTTTTCAGGTCGAAAATTCGACCCTAACCTGATTAAGATTATCAAAGAAGGGTCTGAAAGAATCTTAGAAAGCTCCCAGTATTCCAGGTAAAAGAATAAAAAACTTCTCCAGTGATTGAGAATAGCCGAGGTGCTAAAATTCTGACATTTATCTGAATAGTACTTGTAAGATGTACTCCCAGTAAATCTATAAGAAAATAGACCCTCTTTCAAGCTTGGTTGAGATTTGAGAATAGATTTTAGTGCCTCAAACATCCACCAAAAAAGATATTTCTTTTTAGGCTGGTTCAAATTATGGGAGTATCTAATGATTTTGATATGTTTGACTACAAAAAATTTAGAACATGGCGCATTCCTTAAGTATAGTGGCGCAAAGAAGATTATTTGTTTGTTATAGCTACAAGAGAATATGTTACATTTTGAACAATGTATGCTGATTCAGTCAGGGTTTTGACTTGAAACATCCATTGGTCAACCTTTTGTCCTCAATGTGGTGCTATTCTTATCTCCTTAGCTGGCAAAGCTTGTTCATATATCTTCGAAAACTTTTTATATCTCCATCATTGAGTTGGTCTTGCGCAGATGGGCAGATATAAATTTTCTTTTCTGAATGCAGAGGTTGCTGGTTAGTTCTGATAGATGCTGCTAAAGGATGTGCTACCAATCCACCAAATTTATCAATGTTTAAAGCAGACTTTGTTGTGTTCTCATTCTACAAGGTACTTATATTTTGATACCTGCTGTTTAAGATTACAGGAGGTACTTATATCTCATACCTGCTGTTTTAAGATTATGACTAACATCACGGAGCTTGAAAAGAGTTTTATTTGTTTCTTGTTTAGTTATTTGGCTATCCAACTGGCCTTGGAGCACTCATTGTTCGAAAGGGTAAGCAGCTAAATAAGAAAGCCGATTTTTGTTGTGTTTCCTCACTTATTCTTGTTTAATTTTCTTCTTCGTGTAGTTTACTTCTGACTTGTTTCCCTCTCTGCCTCTATCCCTCTACTTCTCTGTTTATGGAGAGAATGTTGGGTGGAAATGGTGGCAAAGATACCTAGGTTTTTATGTTTTTTCTAGTTGTGTAACAAGATAGACTTATATTTCTCCCCTTTTTTCATCAATGTGAGAATTAACAAAATTTCCTGATCTCTTTCTATTGATCAGATGCTGCTAAGCTGATGAAGAAGACCTACTTTAGTGGAGGTTCTTTTTTAGTGCCTTCTCGTGTTATGATTATATAATTGAAAACTCTAGCAATTTAAGTTAACCTGGATTCTTCTAGGCACGGTGACTGCAGCTATTGCTGACGTTGACTTTTTCAAAAGAAGAGAAGGTGTAGAGGAATTTTTTGAGGATGGAACCATTTCATTCTTGAGCATAACAGCAATTCAACATGGGTTCAAAATAATTAATATGCTAACGACATCTTCGATTTTCCGGTAAGTGAGAGCTTCCTCTCTTTTTTTCGGGATAAGGTGAGAGCTTGCTTCTTTTGTGGGTGGAAGATTCTGAAATTGAATAATGATCAGAATTTTATTGAGATTGCACATATTTTGCTGTCATTACAGATGAACAGAGACATTATATCGTTCACACTAGTGATTAGATTTATTGCGCACTTTTCCGCTTATAGTCTCTTTTTATGATTTATCTAGTGAGTGAGTCCTTCTAATATTATTTGATTAATCCTGCTCATTGCTGCTTTGTAGATGTTGTCGATCTTTTATTTTTTTACTACATAGGTACTGCCAACCTTTTTATAACTAGATGTTACCACAAGTACTGAAATAAGTCAATTTTTGTTTGGCTATTAGGCTAATTATCTTTTGAGTGAACAAGAAAACTTTGTTCTAAAGGTGTAAAATTTTGGGATTTCAAAGTTCCTATGCCTTTTTTTGTCTTCGTTTGATTTGGCAGATAAATTCCTCTTTGTTTAGAGGATATATGGGCATAGTTTCCAGTATCTTTTTTGTGGGTAGAGAAACTAGTCATTCATTTCTGAATCATCTAATTTAGTTCCAACAGAAATATACCAAGAATTTTACAGAAACTGTTGGCCCTTTCTCTTTCTACCCCCCTTAATTGAAGTTGGAGCCTAATGAAAAAAACATGTTCTGAAATGTGCTTTTCTTTTCTGCAAGGCATACAACATCAATTGCAGCATATGTGAGGAATAAGCTTTTGGCACTGAAGCATGAAAATGGAGAATTTGTTTGCACGCTGTACGGGGTAAATATATCGAACATAGCATTCTCGTGACTGGTTTATGTTTTTGGAATTTGGTTGGAATTAGATTCTCGTGAAGAAATTTCTTTATGTCCTAGGCAAAGGCAAGTTTGTTACTGTTGCTCATTCGTGCAGTGGTGATGCAATGATTTTGTTTTTGGGTTGCTTTTTTTTTTGGGGTAGATTTTGATTTTACTCGCGACTTTTTCTATGGTATTCTGTCAGTTTATGAATTGTCTGGTTTGTTATGAAATTGTCCTATGGTTCCGAAGGTGACCAAGTTAATATGACTTTTGTTTTTTTGAGAATAGTAAGTTAAGTTAATATGACTTTTATCTCAGTTATTATCTAGTGAGATGGGCCCCACAGTTTCATTCAACATGAAAAGACCAGATGGAACATGGTATGGATACCGTGAGGTGGAAAAATTGGCAACCTTGGCAGGAATTCAACTGCGGGTAAGAGTTCAATGGTCATATTGTCTATGAAGTATGAATTTTGTTCTGTTTCCCTTGGGAGATGAGATGCTTGCTACTTTATTCTGTTGGAACATAACCCCAGAGCAGATTGATGCTGCTGTTTCTGATATAATGTGCTACTTTCACATGTTATCTTTTTTCAATGTCAAGGAGGATGATATGACTTCCAAGAGGTGTCTTTTTATGATTTATCATTTGTCTTCATTTATATCTGAATGCTTTGATATACTTATCTGGATTTATGAAGTTCTCCATTTAAACTTCTGTTAGCTTGTCTTTGATTTGTGAATTTTGGTCCTTCAGATGCATGGTCACTTACTCTTTTAACCGCCTTCACCACTGTTAGATGCGTTAACTGCCACATTTAGAGGAGTTTTTTAGTCTTCAGTTATTGCCCTCCACAATACGTGCAACTTTTTTACTTTTTGGAATGAGCAGATACCCCATCATGTAATAATCTATGGGAGACCAAATAAGGGATGACTTGCATCCGTACTAACACAATAAGGTCACTGTCTCCTTTTTATGTTTAAGCTTTTGTCCACAAATACCGAGGGTTGTTGTATACATTTGGTTATCAGTAAGCCTATTTGAATATGTAACATAATTTTGGAATAATAGTAAGTAATAACAAATTATCTTAGCTGGAATTGTCTGAGAAAGAGGAGTTTGCAATACAAGGAAATGTTAAATATTTTATGAGAAAGCCCCTAAAGAATAGTCTATCTTAATTCTTAAAGGAATGGAGGGAGGATTAGTCCACAACTTTTGAAACTGGTAATTGAATATCTCAGATATATAATGCTGTTATATGATATGACTAAATTCTTGCTTCTTTTTCCCTGTATTTTTGTATAGACAGGATGTTTTTGCAATCCTGGTGCTTGTGCTAAATATCTTGGTTTGTCACACTTGGATCTTCTTTCAAATATTGAGGTATGTGTTTCCTTTCCCCTCATTTTAATCTGTTACATGGGAAAAAGGGACCACCAATGGCAACAAATTCAAATTATCATTTCATTTAGGCTGGGCATGTGTGCTGGGATGATCGTGACATTTTACATGGAAAACCAACTGGAGCAGTCAGAGTATCTTTTGGTTACATGTCAACATTCGAAGATGCCATGGTAAGGGAACCCACCATTCCCAACCTAATTCCCAAAAAATGAAGTGTAGTTCTATATTTTTTATAGTACAACATGCTTCTTTCTTCAAGATTTTGATGTGCCAAATATTGAACGGTTGGAGTTAAAAATTTACATTTCAACTTAAACGTGGGGCAATCTCTTTATACCTAATTTGTCTTGGGCAATCCTCACTTCGTAAGCTAATTAAAGGTTGTGTTAAGCCTAACATGCACTTTCATAATAGAGAGAGAAAGGAAAATATGTAGCTTAATGGTCACATAGAACAATAATTGCCAACTTCCAATTTTTCACTTTCACTTGGCCATTAGACAGGCAAGCTGAAAGAGAGAAGGAATAAAGAACTAAAACAAAGATGATCTCTTTAGTTCTTCAAGTTTCTATCTGAAGAAAGAGCAACCTTCTAGTCATTTGGATATAAAAAGCTACAAGCTACTTTTCTTTTGACATGGTAAAGAATATATCTAAAACAGCAATATGATTTCTGAAAAAGCTAAATTGTTGAAAAACGGAATATGGTTTGCTACTCCTATTACTTTTTGGTTCTTTTCTATTTCTATATTTCCCTTTTCTGTTGTTTGTTTAGGATGTTGCTGGGCAGAAGCTTCAATTTCTATGAAGTTATCTTGTAATTGCCTGAATGATTGATTAGCAAACTAATCTTTGCTCTGGATGTTCCTCTGAGAGCTAGTCTTATTTACTACTTCATTCCGTTCTACTTGTCTATGCAGAAATTCGTCAACTTCGTGGAAAGTAATTTTGTGATATCATCTTTTAATCGGTGTGCATTGCAGCCAAGGTCCATCTCTCTGCCAATTGAAGGTCAACTTTTGTATCTTTCTACTATTAGGCATGCATTAAATCGATATGTTGAATTGGCTTCTTGTAGACCAGAAGTTGATTGCAAGTGTGGAAGTTTGTCATTTTAGTACCATAAAAGAAATTGTGCAAACTTGTTTAGTCAACCCATGCATTTCATTGACCAATTGCAGGGATTGCAGAAGCTGCTGCACGGCATTTCCTCACATCTATTACTGTCTATCCAATAAAGTCTTGTGCGGGATTTAGTGTGGATCAGTGGCCTCTAACATCTACTGGTAGCTATTCTGCTACATCTCATAGGAAAATTCAGTAGTTCAATTTTTATGGCACATATGATTTTGTCAAAATCAAGAGATATTTGCTCATTTCCATTGCATATAAGAAATTGATCCATGTTTTCTTTAGAATATCAAAGTATTTTGACTTTCAATGTATCATTCTTACATGTTGTCATTCCGTTCAATATGAATTTAGGGTTATTGCATGATCGTGAATGGATTCTCAAGAGCACAACCGGTGAAATTCTTACCCAAAAGAAGGTAGAATACTTTATAATTCACATCATGTGTGTTGATGCCTGTTATCCATGTGCAATGCGATGGTAAAACTACCTTCATTCACCCATTATAATTTAATTTAGTAAAGTGGAAAACATAGCATTGTTGTCTATCATTTGATCTACCCATCCTTCAATGTGTTTTGCTTTTAACCTTTTTAATCTCCTAGACAAGCCTTACTAATAATTGACTATTTTCTCAAAGTAGCATGCAACTTCTTAATGTGGGTTGTGTGCATTGTCAGGCTACATGAGGTCTTTTTTTCGACCTTCCCAATGAAATTATTTATTTTCTCTCTTTTCTTCTAATTCTTTTTTCTATTTGTTTGAGATCGAGGGGTAGTTGGTGTTTTCTAATTTGATTTAATGTATTTTAGCTTCTTTTTTGAAGCCTTACAATGCTCATTATATAATAGAATTGATTAGATGCCATCCTTTTTGTACAAGATATTCAACAATTCATGGTCTTAAAAAGAAGTTGAATAGCCTATAATCTGTACTACCAATAACATTTCAAGTCCTTTGAATAACTCTCCATTATCTCAATATATAAATCCTATTTTCTCCTGTGTTCCACTACTAACTTTGAAGTGTCTTAATCTCTACACTCCATGTTTTAACCTGTCATCTAATTTACTTATTTTTTGTTTTTCTCGAAAACATTCTTGAAAATATGCAAAGTGTCATGCTCTCGATTGGGATATAATCTCTACTTTTATATCTAGACATGTATTTTTGTATGAGAAGCAAGTTACTACGGAAGCTTATATCTTTGAAAGATAATTAATGATTATTCAAAATTTACTAGCTATTGCCTCTTAATTATTGTTTCCGATCCAGTGTTGATTACTTCTGCATCAATATCTAAGTCAGGTGTATTTGCGTTCTAGGTTCCAGAAATGTGCTATATCTCCACGCTGATTGATCTCAATTTGGGGAAACTGTTTGTAGAGTCACCTCGTTGCAAGGAGAAATTGCAGATTGAACTCAAATCCAGCTCACTGGTCACTGAAAGAGATGAAATGGATATCCAAAATCATAGGTTTGAACTTCATCTTCACTTCTTTCCTTTTGATATTAAATACTTAAAAGTAGCTACCTCTTAAAAAAATAAAAATAAAAAATCACGTGAATCAATATGTAGAGCTTTACAACTCAACAAAGAGATCCACATAGCCGTCAAAAAAAATTCAAACGGCTTTATGTACATACATTTACAGACATAGTATAGAATCTTATAGTACCTACATATTCTTAACTTGGGTGAGCATCTATGTTTTTTCAGACTATTTTATTTGGTCGTATGTGTAAGAGCCCAACTTTTCTTCTATTCTCGAGTTCAATAATTTTTCCTGTACCTATGTTACTCGGAATCTTTCAAAATGTCAAAGGGTGTGTGTCGGATTCTCCAAAGTATTGTATTTTTGGAGAATCCGACACGGGTGCAGCATCAAAAGTGAAGAGCTCGCTCAACTTAGTCCTGTAGCACTAAAACTTTGTATTTTGAAGAAACTTTTTTTTTGAGAAGGATTTGTATTTTGAAGCTTAAGTTGTTAAAACTTTGTGATCGTGTATCTGAACTGACTTAAACAATGTTGTGTTGCAGTTTCATATATGGCTACCATTAAGTGAAGGGTTCTTTCTTCACTTTTACAGTTGTACTTATTTTTTAATCAGAAAGGTGAAGTTTCATTAAGATAACACGGTTTACGTACAGTAGAAAAAGTTAGAAAGGAAAAATAGTGCTCCTTAAGTTTGGTCTAATATTTATGAAGAATTTTGTTTGTGGGCTTGCATGTGAGTTTCTAAGTTCGAACCACTTAGATGTAGTGGTTGAAAAGATGATTAGGGTATGTGCGTTGTACTGATGTAAGTTCTGTTGTTGACCGTCTGGTATGGTTGCCTTTAGTGAAGCATGAGAAGTTATAATTCTTGACAATGTTTGCCCTAATATTTTTGAACGGTGGTGTCCAGGCCAACTTGTGCGACCTGGACTGTTCCATTAGGTACCAACTGCCTCCCACCCAGCAACACTACTATCGGGTAACTTTGTCTACCAAGGCTTAGGCAGATAGGAAGAAATCACCTAGTGTTTCGTCTCTTCTGTGGTTTGAACCTTATCTCTAAGGTTGCACGCACTTCATTGACCACTAGGCCACACATTTCGACCTTCACTGTGTTTGCTTTTCAAAGATTGTACTCATTGTTTTCCTTGTATGTTGGAGACTATAATTATGTTCTTTGTCATGTAATAGAGTGTTTGATTAGGATAAAGTGGGTGTATTTCTCATCTGAACAAAGAAATAGTTTATGGAACTAACTGTTTTTAAAGCTTTGGCTCATTGTCGAGCTTCAAACTTCAATTTATTCGTTCCAAAGCAGATTTTAAACAGTTGTGGTTTAATCAGTTGCTTTATTATACTTCCCAAAAGACAAAACCAAGACAAGAAGAAACTAAAAAAGGAGTGAACAGTATTTTGAGAAGGATGTCATTATTTTAGTCTGCATGTTCTTAAAATAGCTACCGTTATCTGTGACTACTGTGGTAGTTCATGTGGAAATGAAAAAGAATCTAAAAAGAAGTGTAGTTCATGAATACAGTCTATGTAAGTGGTGTTTTTGAATAGCAGTATTATAGTAATGCTCAATCATTTTTCATGTCTTTTTGATTTGGGTAGATATGAAGTCACAAGTTACAACAATGAGGTTGATATCTGGTTCAGCAGGGCGATTGATCGACCTTGCACTCTACTAAGAAATTCCGATTCCCAGAGTCACTCCTGCATAAATAAGAACGGGAGTCCTGGCATGTGCAGGGATGTTGGTGCTAGATTGAATTTTGTTAATGAAGCCCAATTTCTGCTGATATCTGAAGAAAGCATAAAGGACCTCAACTCTAGGCTGAAATCTAGTATGTTTTCTTTTCTTTTCTCTTTGTTAGTAGTGAGCAAACTCTCTTTCTGGTATTGAGCTCTTCTGAAATAGGAATATAAGGAAACTAGAGAATGCACCCAATACAATTGGCCAATTTGAGGCTATTCCTCTGAGCTGAATGCATAACAACTTTTAAACCATGTCTATACAATATTAGTGCAATAACTTCTGTTCAGAGGATACAAATGCTTTGCATTACTTGAATCTATGTTAGACGTGGTGGTATTTCTGTTTTTAGAGGAGACTTGAGTTCAGAAGTCTTACCTGTAGTAGCATGGCTGTTGCGGCTGTAGGAGGATCTAAAAGGAATTAAAAGTAAATGTATTTGCTGTCTGTTCAGTCTTGTATAGTCCACTATACTTGAATTATTTTCCTGCATAAGTCACTTGTATCACTTAATATGCTTCCTCTGATGGTGGTTAGTGATTTTTACAGAAAGGTTTATGTATAAAGCAAATAGGTTCATCAAAAATTCATTCGACCTTTTTTCTTTAATCTTTTTAGATGGACGAAGGAGAAATGGTGGACAAGCAGTACAAGTTGGTGTAATGAGATTTCGACCCAATCTTGTAGCATCTAGTGGTGAACCATATGCAGAAGATGGATGGAGCAATATAAATATTGGAGGCAAATATTTTATGGTGAGTTCTAACTTCTAGCTCGTATAAAATCAAGATATGGGAACATGAAGTGACTGTACATTCTGTCCTAAAATTATAGATGAGTATTCTTGTATTCAGTAAGTCAACAGAGGTGCTAAAAGTTCCTCATGTGTTCATACTTAAATTGTTTAAGTGCAGTCATTGGGTGGTTGCAATCGTTGCCAGATGATCAATATAAATCCAGAGGCTGGGGAGGTGCAGAGGTTTACTGAACCTTTGGCAACTTTAGCAGGTTACAGGAGAGCAAAGGTTAGAACCCACCTAAAAATGAAGAAACCCCCCCAAAAAATGCAGTTTGCTTGCTTAGTTAATTGCTTCTTACCATATCTCCCTTGCAAACAGGGGAAAATAATGTTTGGCATACTGCTAAGATATGAGAATAATACGAAAACCGAGTCAGATACATGGATTCGTGTGGGAGAAGAAATAATTCCAAATGGAGATAGGCATTGATTGTTTTTCGTGGAAGTTCCTATTTGAGACTTGTAAGTAGTCACAACAGAGGTGATACAAGTGTTCAATATTGTGAAGCAGCGCAAAAAACACTTGCTCTAGCCAGGTCAATACATCAAACTGTACTTTGTTGCTGTTCTCTATCTGCAAAAGAGTATGTTCTTCTAAAAGAACTCGCTAAGATCTTCATTCTTTGTAACCAGTACTATTATAAGCTAATAAATACCCAATCGTAATATTAACTTCTTTGGGGCTGCGTATAGTTTTATGTGTAAGTTTTTAGTTTGTGTAGTGACTCGGTGTGCAAGTACAACCCATGGATGATGCAAAAATCCTCAGGACATCGCCATGATCTTATTAACAGTGCTTTCTCGAGAGTTGAGACCAAACGGGTGGAAAAGATAGTGAACGTTGAAAGCTTTATTCCTCTCAACTATGAAGGTTAATTATGAATGTACATGTTAATACTTAGCAATATTGGTGGAATAATATGTTTGTCATTTTGTTTTCACTCTTCGCAAAGGAACAAAGAATCCATTGCTCAAATTTCAGAAGTAAAAGGATATACTACTATCAATTATGTCTTGACTAAAGACTTTGACCTTTTCTTTATTTTCTCATTCCTTTATTGTGTTTTTTTGCGTCTCAGTTTTTATTCACTTCCGTAGATGTTTGACTTTCAGGTTGCTGTTTGGTACTAACTTTTCCCTGATTGGATATATATATGACAAATTTGATATTGGTTGGAAGTTGGAACCGTTCATTTGCTGCTTCTAATATGGACTACCCATTCTGCCATTACTAAGTAGCTGTGGTTTAGATTTTTTATTTGTTTTAAAATATATAATACATACAAATCTATCAGAATATAATGACTTTAATGGATTCTTCAAATTTAACTAAACAACGCAATTTTGTTTTGAGTTTGACAATCCTTTGGTCCAACCTAAAACGAGCAGAGTCAAAAAAAATATAGAGATATTATGAATAGGAGAAAAAGCTATAGTGGCTAGCACGAAGTCAAATCAACTTGGTTGATGGGAAGTCGTCCACCTTCGAAATGTGTCCACGCAAGTGATTTTAGTATGAAATGAAATAAGGGCGCGTTTGGTATGATCTATGAAAAATATTGGTTAGGAGAATAAGTTTTTTTTTTCTTTTTATAAGGTTGGTGTATGTGCCAGTTGGTATGCACAACTCGTCTAATTACATGCTATATCCAACCAAACATGTATGAAGTAAGCATCAAGATTGAAATACAAGGGAAGAATTAATTAGTTTATGATCTTTACATAAAATACAAAAAGAAATGTTTAGCGTGGATCAGTGTGGGAAGCCGAAGATCCGGGGGATCTGGTGGTTGCAGAGGGGGTTGGAGGGAGAGATGGATGATCAATATTACTTATGAAACTTATTTTTTTCAGTAGATTTTATTTTTTAAAAAAAATTATTCTTAACCTACTAAACATAAAAAAAATTTTAAAAAAAAGTAAAAAAGCATTTTCATAGCAAATACACCCTAAAGGTTGAAAAGGTAAAAATGGCGGCAGTTTTAGTGGTTAAAGATTACAAGCAGAGTAGTCCAACTAATTTCATAAGCTCGATTATTAATTAATATTTTTGGATTATGAATGCTTCTAGAGTTAAAATTACAAAAAGAACACTAAAATAATCATGATCTCCAAATTTAGATTTTCTTTGTTCTCTCCCTTTGTGCGGAATCAATATATATTTTTCTTTTTATTCTAACATATCCTATTCTGATATATAATCAACTAAGCCTAAAAAAAATCAACAATAAATTATCTACTATGATGATAAGCAAAAGCATTTACATTAATATAATGTTATTAAAGACTATGACTATGTATGAATCTCCATATAAAGTAGCACATCAAAATGATAAGATAATTAGCAATAAAGCTAAGTCAAATGAATTAGTTGAGGAGTGTAAACCTTATTTTCTAAGTAGTTGAAGAAATAGGAAGTGGGATATAGACTTTGTTATATATTTAGCAATTAATGTACTAGTCTCTCCCAATCATATGGTTTTATTTGCAGGAAGTTTGGACCGTATGTAGAATCTTTAAGCGAAATGGTTCATATAAGTGTGTAGCTGCAGAATGGAGATCAATAACAAAAAAGAGAGTTGAGAATTCTTCAGATTATATAGACTGCTCCAACTGTCAAAGCACAATAATAATATTGTTCATCAATCAACGAATAATAATAATAATATTAACCAACGGATCGGAGCTCATCATCATCAATACTCATGTGTAGGTAGTATTGAATTGGGATGAACTTAGATCTATTTTAGACCTTGATCCTTATTGATCCATCTTCATTCTGGTGTATGTGTCTATATGAAATTAATAATGATATACAGCGCAGCTTATTACATGTACTAATTTCCCAAATATATGCCTACTTTTCCATTACTTCAACAAATCGGATATTTATGTGAATATATTATATGCTCATTCAACTTTTTATTATATTTTGATTCAAAAGAAACAAACAAATTTGGATGATCATCCAATCTATATATAAATGACTTATGAATAAAGTCAACTTTGTTTTTTGAATGTCAATGAAATAGTCAATGTATTTTATCAAATTAATTATATATTATCCCACAAAAAAGAACTCTTAAATGAAAAATATTTGAAAATGACATCAATTATGCATGCATATTAGATTCTTTAGTCCAAATATTTTTGGAAATATTACATTTGATAGGTAATGGAATAACACATATTAAAAGTAGTTGATGATGGTAATAAAATTAAAATTTGTTAAATAGTCGACCTTATTTGTTAAAATAAAATAAAAAACATTTTGGTTTTCTTTTCCTTTCCTTTTGGATGGTGGATTTGATTGAGGTGCAAAGGTGAGGTGGCAGCATCTTAGTGGTTAAAGACACGGTAAGTGGGCCCAAAAGCCGCTTGCTGACATTAGCTGGATGAGGATAAGTAGCCAACAACAAACAACACCTTCATTTTCTCTCTAATCAATTCCTTCGGAAATGGAGAAATTCGTCGCTCTAAATGCTTCAAATTTGAGCTCCGGTTCCCTTTTACCAATTGGGTTTTCTTCGCCTTGCCGTAAATCTGCACTTTCACTTCAACGCCGGCGGGTCCACGTTACCAGGGCTTCCGTTGCTCTAGAACAGCAAGCTCAAACTAAGGTCGCTGTCATCAGAGTTGGAACACGAGGAAGGTACTGTCAATTATTTACCCAATCTATTTGTACAAAAATACCTAATGGGCTTTATCTCAGCTTAAAGTTACAGTCTTTCAACTGAAAATTCGGATGTAAAAAGATTGCCGCTTTTACCAATTAATTGCTGTTTAGTCTTAGGTTTTGATAGATGATTCAAGATTAAATAATTGATGCTTTATTCTTATGTTTTTCTCTTGAGTGATAAAGTAAATATGGAAAAAAATTGTATTTGAAGTACATGAACAAGTATTTATCATATTATTCACTGAGGTGTCATTTAGTTCAATAGTCTCAGAACATTTAGTAATCAGAAATTAAAATGTGGGGTTAATGGCCCCATAGTTGGACAGAATCTAGATTTCTCTCATATCCTCCAAAGTAGTATAGTTTTGAAGGATCTGACACCCACCCGTAGGCAGTTTTTAAGAGTAGAGACATAATCTACTAACCTTTTCTGCCCTGTAATGTAATGATGCTAGTTGGACATATTTCGGATTAGCTTTATCCCAATTTCTTTCCACAATAGTTAACGGTCATCTTTATGCTTTTATCGATTATTTGTTGTATTTTAGTTATGATGTGTGCTAGTGTTAGTCAAAATGTAAGCTTTTTAAGGGGATCTGGCATTATGGAGAAAACAAAAATACAACTTTGTATGCTTGACTCCTCTTTGTGCTTGCCTTTTAGAAATTAACTAATGTTAGCAAGCAGATAAACCCTTTTTTTCTCCTTGCATTTTCCCCCTGGCATATATTTTCTAGCCAATCTATGTTCTTTTTGATGAATAAAAATATCTTGTTCATACTTCCCTTGTTCCATGAACATATTTGGTAACAACCATGTAATGTATATGGGATGAATTTCAACATTGCTTTGGATTAACTCTTCGTTCTATCTCCTTCTTTGCGTGTTCGGGTGGGATGATGGAAACTGACTGATATATCTATAAAGTGCTTTTGCTAAAACTCTTCTCTTATGGATTACAATGCAATTACTTGTGTAGGACAGCCCCCTAGCTCTTGCCCAAGCTTATGAGACTCGAGAAAAGCTAATAGCCTCGTTTCCTGACCTGGCTGAAGAGGGAGCCATTGAGATAGTAATAATAAAAACCACAGGTGATAAGATATTAAGTCAGCCTCTTGCAGATATTGGTGGAAAAGGGTTGTTCACAAAAGAAATAGACGAAGCCCTCATCAATGGCGATATTGATATTGCTGTCCACTCAATGAAAGATGTGCCCACATATCTGCCAGAGAAGACTATCTTACCGTGCAACCTTCCACGTGAAGATGTGAGGGATGCATTCATTTCTTTAACTGCAGGTTCCCTGGCTGAACTTCCATCAGGAAGCACAATTGGTACTGCTTCACTGAGGAGAAAGTCCCAGATTCTCCACCGCTATCCCTCACTCAATGTAAGTCTATTACCTATCACATCAAAGTCTCTGAAGAAGACCCATTGATCTCTGAGTGTGTGTTGATATCAGAAACAAAGTGAACTAAGAGTCTCCGTAAATTTTTCCATCAAGCTGCAGCCATAATTTATTTGAGTCATTGCTTCATGTATTGTGTTGGTATATATATGCCTTCTATGAAGGTAAAACCTTGAAAGTTAAATAGTTTACTTATACTACTACTTGGAGATTGTTTGCAACAACTAGGAATATGTTGCAATGGGCCAAATAATAAAAGAACTTCTGTGTGCTCAAAAAGATGGGTAGGATGACCTACGAGTGGAAAAAGAGTAAATTGAGGATTGTGTATTTCTTGTTGTGATATGTTACATAGCTTGGTATGCTCCAGGAGCAGTAATTGTTTTCTTGATAAGCCAAATGCGAAGCTCAGGTTTTCTATATCTGAATATCTTTTAGATGAAGCAAAATTTGTGGTGAAATTTTTTATGGTGGTTACTTCTGGCCTGAATTTTCTTATTTAGCTCAGCTCTGCCAATCTAACAACTTTTCCTCTTTGCTTTTATTTAGTTTGACAAGTCATGCTAATTATTTTATGTGAATTTTGTTTAAAGGTGTTGGAGAATTTCAGAGGCAATGTCCAGACAAGGTTGAAGAAACTGAATGAGGGAGTAGTTCAAGCTACATTATTGGCACTGGCAGGGCTTAAGCGTCTGAATATGACAGAAAATGTATCATCGATCCTTTCTATAGAGGATATGCTACCAGCTGTTGCTCAGGGTGCCATTGGTATTGCCTGCAGAAGTGATGACGAGACAATGGTATTTAGCACTCTTCTCTGTTATTACAAATACATTTCCTGCTCTACCATTGCTCATATCTCCTCTTTCGAGGGCTTTATTTCGCTCATATTTATCGGATGCAATTATAGGCCAACTACATTGCTGCTTTAAATCATGAAGAAACCAGATTAGCAATAGTTTGTGAGAGAGCATTTTTGACGACCTTGGATGGGTCTTGTCGCACCCCAATTGCTGGCTATGCCTGTCGAGGTGAAGATGGAGATTGTATTTTTAAAGGATTAGTTGCCTCTCCAGATGGAACGCGAGGTAAACGTTACTTCTTAGTTACAGAATTCTGAGGGATGTGTGAGTTACCTATTCTTTATGTTTATTTGATGTATAATCTTCAATTTCAGTTATTGAAACCTCTAGAAAGGGACCTTATACGTCTGAAGACATGATACGGATGGGTGAAGATGCTGGCCAGGAACTACTTTCGAAAGCAGGTCCAGGATTTTTTGGCAACTGAGTAAAGCTTATGCTCTTATGGTCGACCTCTGCCTATGAAAAATGCAGAGATGTATCGAATAACAGGGATAGAGATCGGAATTTTATATTTCACCCCTACTATAGGATTATGAGTCTACTTATCCTTGTAACTGTATCGGCAATAGAATTTGAATACTTTGTATGTTAGTGTAGCATTTCCACTTCAATTTGGAGTGTATCCGAGGAATGGTGAATGTTTGCAGATTTGTAGAAAAGTTGTACTGGCGGATTTGGATTGTTTTTAATCACTGTGAGTAATTTGTGCAACTGTTGTAAGCTAACGAAAGAGTATTTCATCGTTGGCTTAATTTATGCAAGGGGTTTGGTCCAAATGGAATATTTCGTTTATAATTGGCTTTATTTTTTGTATCGCAACTATTCATAAGACGGTTCCCTCCTATTAGATCTTTGAGAAAGAGTATCAAGTTGACCCTTGATGAACTAACTCTCCCTTCAACTCTTGGAGTGAAATTCGGTAAAAGAAAAATTCATGAATTAACCAACCCCATTTCCACCTCCTAAGGATGCTTCAGCATTCAGACCAATCATAGAACCTTTGTTCAGAAACATATTAGTTGTTTTACTTTCATGTTGGACAATCACGATAAGGACCGAACTAATACCTGTAAGCCAAATAGTAGTCATATTCTTAACTATGTTTTAAATTGAGGTTTCTTTTTTATTCATCATATTAACCATTACAACATGGTTAAGAAAAAATTATACCATAAAAATGAAGTTTGTGGATGCAATATTTTAGTTCAATATTTATTGGAGTTGACACTTTGATACACCTAATGACATGAAAGTATCCATCTTATCCAAAATAGGACGAAAATATTAAAACGAGATACTTGTATAGGAAGGGTGAGAAGATAGAAAATTTATTTGGTTCAAGCAACTGAGTTTCCCCATACAATCCTCTCTTGTGCAGTATCTTCTAAAGTTGAAATCTCGTATAGAAAAATGAAAGTACACTCCTGCATTCATCCTCTTCCCTCTACTCCCTCCACCGGAATTTTGGTCTCTGCCGGTCCTGCGGAAGCTAAGCTTGCTGCTAACACCAGAAAGCTTTATTCTTTAACTTTGAATTCCTCTAATTATGTCCCATTTCCTTATAAAGATCAGAAATTTTCCAGAAGCAGCTCTACGGATTTTTCTAGAACGGCTATCGGTTCGGTATTCCCTAAAACTTCAAGCTTCCGCCCCCCCCCCCCCCCTTTTTTTTTCTTTGTGAAGCTACAGCACTATTTGCAAATTGTTTTGCATTTTGCTGTTGTATTTTGTTGAAAAATTATCCCTTTTGTGGTTCAGAAGGGCATTCTTGTGAATTGAACGCCAATTTCTTATTTGAATTCTACACAAGAACCTGTTAACTAGCCGTCTCAAATTTTATTTTTCTAGTTGCAAAGTATGTTTTGTTGGATTTTCCAGCTAACTCAAATTATAATCTTGTCTTTGCTAATAGAAAGAGGAAGAGTTAACTGCATTTCACTCTTAATACAACTTTACTGCTCCTTCTGAAGACATTGATTAAGAAAATCTGTAGTCTTTGCCTTTATGTTTGGCTGTTGGATTAGTTGTATTAGATATGATAAGGTCTCTGTAAAAGTGAGTGAACTTGGAAAAAGAGATAGTTTATGCTCAAGAAAGTGAATTGTGACATCTTAAGGTTTTTGTATATGTCCAAACTATCTATCTCTCTCTAAAATGTCTCACTTAATGAACACTCCACTAATTGGAGAAACAAGGGTGAATTTTTGGGAGAAAAAGCAATAAATGCTTATTGTTTTTCTAGAACATCCAATATTTTAGAACAAATCCTTTGCCAAAAATGGCAAATATGAACCGGCAGTAGTACTATGTACTTCCCAGAAAAGAGTTTTTTTTCAAGGTGAACAACTACCATAAACTAGCCGACCTCAAGTTGTTTGGATTGAGATATAGTTGTCTGTTTGAACAACTACCTAAACACTGAATATAGTCTTTAGTAGTCTTAGTTCAAAGTCTATTCTTGAGGCTCGTTACGTGTGATTTCTTCTGGTTAGTCTGTGATTCATTATGAATGAATGATAATCTTTCTGCTTGATGCTGCACTTAACATGAATACCTTTGGTACAGAATGTAAGTGAAGATACAGATGACATGTTTGATGATCTCCTAAGAACGCATGGCAAAGTGGTATACAAAAGAAATGACCAAAAACCTGCAAGTGAGGAGATTGATGATGATGCTGAAAGCCTATCGTGTAAGTTGTTCTAAATTGTTAGTTGGATTGACTACTTCTCAGTTGCCGAAGCTTTGAGCCTCGTAGCTTATAGTTTTACTTTTCATGTTGGCCTGTACCTCTTAGCTCATAGTTTTATCTTAGGAACATCGGTTAGTTTTATGATATCCAAGAACGTGTTGACCAACTTTAATTTCATAACTCATGAGCATCTATGTTCTTGTTTTTGTTATTTTCCTTTGGGGAAAAAAGAGTATTTTCCCCTATGATTGATGTACTTACATTATACCTCTATGTAGTGAAAAAATAAGCTGAGAACCCTTTTAGCTTAAAAACCATCCATTTTACTCTCTTAATCAATTCCATACATGTCTCATTTTGTTGTTCCTTCAAAAATCTCATTGAAAATGTCATGAATATCCTCCATTCTTATGTGTAGGAACTCTTTGCATTAAAATGTTCATGTTCTTTCATTGCCCTTCAATCTAGTAGTAGTTCTACCAGAAGGTTTTTGAGATAATATTATTTGTATCAGAACTCTCTAACATAATTTCAAGTTTTTTTACATTGATATAGTTGTTAGTTATATTATAGAATTTAAGGTAGTATAGCCCAAATGTAATCGTAATTTGATTCGCATCATTTTGCTTAATATACTTTTGAGTTGTTTAGGTGACATTTACTGATAATGTTGCTTACTTTTAATGTATATTAGTGGTGAAATATTTTTACCTAAACTACTGAAGCATCATAAACAAACTATAGAAAATTATACAAGATGAAACCCAAAAAAGCACTTTAGAATCTGAGAATATGAATATGATGATTGACTTTAGGCAGAAGTCGTTGACAGTGCTGTTCCCTCTATGCAGTTGCAATGGCTGTGGCTAAAGTTGCAAGTGATGTCAAGGCTGGAGATATAAAGGTCCTCTTTGTCAAGCCTCTAGTATATTGGACTCGGTTTTTCATTATTGCTACTGCATTCTCTCGCCCACAGATTGATGCCATTGGGTATGATATCATATTCTGAGGTTTTCTATTGAATATTAACCAGCAGCAGTATAAATAATCGCAAATGAATAAATAGACGAAGAGGATTGACGATTATTTTTTGTAATTCTGAATTTTCTCTAAATTTCTCATAAAGGACCAGAGTAAGAGATATGGCTGAGGAACAATATGGAAGAGTTGCTTCTGGAGATTCAAAACCCAACTCGTGGACACTACTGGACTTTGGTAAGTAATTCATGGTACTTTAATAGTCCTGCTATTACTTGTGTCATGGCTGAAGAATTTCACTGGATATGAATTTATTATTGCCCTTGTTCTTGATTCACCCCTATTTTTTAATTTCATATGTGGACAAGTGCTGTTAAGGGGCAATATCCTTCTGCACATTAGGATTAGAAGGGAGTAACTTTGTTGTTGACTAACGACTACTTACTGTAACTGTGTTGCTTCACATTGTCCAACATAACTTACCCAAACATAGTGCTTAACTGTTACAAGTTATCAAACCATCAAGCAACTTGCAAAAATCCGTTATTATTCAGTTGAGCAAGAAAAGGAGGTTTAAAGGTTCAAAGCACAGAGATCTCTGACCCAGCCAGAGAAGCATTAGTTTATATCGTGCCCTGCTTCATATGGGTAGTGCTTTTCAAAAATCATCCCATGCATAAGGTTAACATCTGGTTTCAACATGGACTAGCTATCCCAGGGTGGCCAAACATGTTATGGCCAGGGTCAGAAGAAATGTTACCTCCAAAGCTATAAGGACTAAACATGAGTGGTTTGTTTTGATAAGGCGATGCTATATTATGTGCTACTATTTGACCCTTGCAGCAACCATGTACTATGCCATGAAATGTTGTTCTTCTTGCTGATATGTCGCTCCATGCCTCTCTTAATTACAGGTGATGTCGTTGTTCATCTATTTCTTCCTCCGCAGCGTGAGTACTACAACCTGGAAGAATTCTATGGCAATGCAGCATCCATCGAACTACCATTTGAGAACCAACAACAATTGCGAGGACCTACTGGTTATTGAAGTCCCAACAGTTATGGCCTCGTGGTGATTAACAGAAAGTGTAGCAAATTATGAGGCAATCACAGTGTTCCCCCGATTGCTGACAAGGAACGATTAACATATCTGGGCAAACTCTGTTGATCCACTGGTTGCGTTATTTTTCTTAAATTAGTAGTAAGATAAAGCTCTCTACTAAGTTGTCTCTGTAGAAGTATTGGTTAAGAAATAGTTTACAAGCATTCTGAACTAATAAGGGCTCATTGTCACGTTTGATGAAAGAACCTAACATCCTGCTTCTTTTTCCCTTGATGTGAGTTGAGTTTAAATGAAGAATGAGGATTTAAATATTTTTGGGACTGAGGCGTAATTGCAATTGTTGGTTTTATATCCTCTTACAATTCTCTTCAGTAGAAGAAACATGTCAATTAACAAAAGTTTACAAACACCATCATATATGGAATTAAAGAAAAGGCAATGCTAATCCAACAACATAACGTTCCAATTGGTTGAATAAAATAGCAAATAGAGGTTGAAAAATGAAAACGGGAAGTTAAGTTAGCTTCTAAGATCCAACCACTATATAAATTCAAACTCTTTGGCCAACATAAAATGCTCCACAAGAGCTAAGATATGAGAGCCGAGAAAACTAGGAGTACATTCGGAATTTACAACTAATATTCCATCAAATTTTACAAACTAATATGTACAGGGACAACGATTACGATAAACAAAGGAACAGTTCATTGTGCATTCATATCTTAATTGAAGTTCATATACAAATTAGCAAGATCTGCATGAGACGAGCATAACTAAGCAGACAAATATTGGTATAATGAATCCAAGCACTCATCAGGCAGCATTCTGATAGCAACATAGATTCCTGCAGAACACATTTTTGCTTTCAGTATATACAAGAGCCAAAAGTAAAAGTAAAAGAACAGGGAGGGAGGGTGTAAACTTCTAGAATGCATGAGTAGATGAACAGAAATGCTTCTTCAAATGGATTAATGTTGTTACTAGCAACATGGCCAATGCAGAAGATAGGAAAGATGTGAACTTATACGCCATCTCTCATGCATATGCAACTAAAGAAAC